TCTGCAGTCGTCAACACCATACACTTCTACACATGGAAAGACAGCAACAAAATTCCGACAGGCAGCCCAACTACGAAGAAAGACCCACAACTTCCCAACCGCGAAATACTCAACGATACCCACCAACAAGAAGAGCAGAACATTACCCACCAAGAGGCGCAATGTCACGCCAGTAGAAATGAAGAAAACGTCCTACTCGCTACTGCTCTATTAGAAGTGAGCACATCAAGTTCCCCTCAAGTCTTGAGGATTCTTATTGATCAAGGGTCATAGATATCCATTATTACTGAAGAAGCTGCAAATCGGCTGGAATTACCACGTCATATTATCAGAGCACAAATCTAAGGAATTGGTGACGGAGAACCAATTCTAAATGGTCTATTGGCGCACAGATCAAACCACGATTTATGAGCACAAACTTACTCAATCCATGCCAAAACGACACCTACACATAAATAGATTAGATAGTTGGAAGAATGAAGTGCTAGCCGATCCAACATTCATGACACCAGGTGCAATAGATGGTATATTAGGCGCAAAGGAATACGCCAATATCATTTTAAACGGCATGCAAAAAAGTACAGAAGGCCTATTGAAACAAAACACAGAGTTAGGATGGATCGTTTCTGGCCCAATAGCATCCGGATCTCCCGCCATCCAAGTTGTCAGCATGATCACTCACTATGAAGAAGATAGACAGCGAACCAAGTTCTGGGAAATTGAAGAAATAACCCAAACACAGCCCCGAACAGAAGAAGAGCAAGCATGCGAATAGATTTTCGAGGAAACCACAACTCGAGACTCTGAGGGTAGATTCATTGTTAGAATCCCATTCAAACAGTCAGCAGATGTATTAGGTCACTCTAAACCAAGAGCCGCAGCAAGATTCAAGAACATTGAGAGAAAGTTACATCAAGATCCCAGTTTACAAGAACAATATTCTGCATTTATGAAAGAATACATAGAGTTGGATCATATGAAAAAAGTTACCCGACATGAAGTGAATCAAGGGAAATATTACATCCCTCATCAAGCAGTCATCAGAGAAGCCAGCACAACAACGCGACTAAGAGTCGTTTTGGACGCATCGAGCAAAAGTTCCACCAACATCAGCCTAAATGACATCATGTACGTCGGCCCAAGACTTCAACAAAACATCGCCGACATACTGCTGCGTTGGAGAAAGTATGAGATTGTGTTCTGCGCAGACATAGAGAAAATGTACAGGCAGATCCGAATTCATCCAGACGATCAACAATTCCAGAGAATATTATGGAGGGAGCATCCACAGCAACCAATGTATGAATACGAACTGACCACTGTAACCTACGGTATAGACTCAGCACCATATCTAGCCATCAAGACACTACAGAAGCTTGCAATCGAAGAATCAAACAAATTTCCGGCAGCAATCCAAGCAGCATTGAGAGACTTCTACGTCGATGACATATTATCGGGAGCAACAGATACAGAAACAGCCCTAGAACTACAAAACCAACTACTAAAAATGCTCAGCCTTGCTGGATTCAACCTGAGAAAATGGTTTAGTAACTCACCGGCATTACTCCAATCAATTCCAGAACAGTTCCGAGAACAGAAAATACAAGAACTACCTCAGGAAGATTTCAAGAAATCTCTGGGCGTACTATGGTCACCAGCAGACGATACCTTCAAATTCCAAGTCAAAGTCTCCGAGATACGCGAATTAACAAAACGACAAATTTTGTCAGAAATATCGAAGCTATTCGACCCCTTAGGATGGTTGTCTCCAATCGTAATACAAGCTAAACTCATCATTCAAGAGTTATGGCTAAGAAACCTGAGCTGGGATGAGCCTGTAGATGAGAAAATATCTTCAAGATGGATACAGTTTCAGAGCAAAATAAAAGAAGTAGAAAAAATCAAGATTCCGAGGTGGATACATCTGAGAAAAACAAAAATTGAAATCCACGGCTTTTGCGATGCATCAGAAAAAGCCTATGGTGCAGTGATCTACAGTCGGATAGAAAAAGAAGATAAGCGAATTATAACACTGCTGCAAGCAAAATCAAAAGTCGCTCCAGCAAAAAATAGAACAACCCTACCTCGCTTGGAGCTATCTGCAGAAGTCCTACTATCAAAACTAATTCAAAAAACTAAGATAGCACTTCAAATGAGTGATACCCAAACCTTCGCTTGGACCGACTCCATGATCACTCTTGCCTGGATAAAGGGTGACTCTACGAGATGGAAAACCTTTGTGGCAAATAGAGTTTGTGAAATACACAGAAACGCCCCTCAAGCATCCTGGAACCACGTCAAGTCCCAAGGAAACCCAGCAGACATCATATCCAGGGGATTAGACCCAGACAAACTACAATCAGCTGACCTGTGGTGGAAAGGTCCTCATTGGCTGACGTTTCTCCATGAAATCCCCACAACAGACAACATTCCCGACATTCAAGAAGAAGTAAAAGCCACATGTCACAAAATTGAAGTTACGATAAGGAGCGATATATGGGAACGCTTCTCAAACTTGACAAGGATGCTCAGGGTATTATCCTACTGCCGTCGATTCATCAAAAAGAGGAAAGTCTTACTCTATCCGTTCAAGAAGTTCAAAACACTTTCGAAAGAATCATAAAAATAGTCCAACAGCAAGAGTTTACCGAATAATACAAGTATTTACAACAGCAGAACGCAGTCGACAAGAAAAGTAAGCTACAGACCCTCAACCCATTTCTCGACAGCAAGGGCATAATCCGAGTCGGAGGGAGACTCGAACACTCACCTCTTCCCTACGACCAACGACACCCGATGATTCTTCCATACCATTCTCACATATCTATGCTGGTGGTGAGAAACGCACACAAGACCACGCTACATGGAGGCAACCAAGCGACATTGTCGTACATACGAAGCAGATTCTGGATCATCAACGGTAAGCGGGCCGTCAAAGCAGTTACAACGCCGAGACCGCACAGCAACTCATGGGACAACTTCCGAAATCGAGAGTAACACCAGCACCACCATTTACAAACTCAGGAGTGGACTACGCTGGACCGATTCAAGTCAGAGCAACAAAAGGAAGAGGTCACAAATCGTACAAAAGGTATATCGCAGTATTCGTATGCCTAGCTAGCAACCAAAGCCATTCACCTAGAAGTAGTCAGTGACATGACAACAGAGGCAGTCTTAGCAGCACTTCGATGTTTCACAGCCAGAGGGGACATTGTGCGAATATGTACAGTGATAACGGAACTACATTTGTTGGAGCAGCACGCCTATTCGAAGATGAAATCACAAAATTGATACAATCACAATCTGTGCAAAACACAATCGTCAACTTAGGAACACAATGGCACTTCATTCCCCACATTTCGGAGGACTATGGGAGGCAGGTGTGAAATCTATGAAGCACCATCTCAAGAGAGTTATTGGAGACTGCACTTTGACCTATGAAGAATTAACAACGTTGGTGTATCAAATCGAAGCATGTTTGAACTCAAGACCACTCTACCCGCTAACAGAAGACACAGATGATTTCAACATCTTGACCCCAGGACACTTTCTCATAGGAAGAGAACTTCTAGCTCCACCAAATGGTGTGTCGATCTTGTTTGTCTGCAGAATTCCGAGATATTTGTATGAGTCCTGGTAGGGTTGGATATCAGGCCCTTGAAGTCTGCCTTTCTCGATTACTGTCTGACACTTTTGCACGTCGAAGTTCATACCAATATCAGAGCTCATTTGGTGGGTCAGTTTTAAGATAGTTTCAAGTTGCTTTCTGTTCGCGGTGTATATTTTTAGGTCATCCATGAAGAGAAGATGGCTGATAACTTTCGAGCTTCTTCCGTGTTTTAGGGCGAATCCATAGCCTGTTTGACTTAGCGTTTCGGATATTGGGTTCAGAGCCAGACAGAACCACAAAGCAGACAGTGAATCCCCTTGTTTCTTGGGTTCTGATGCTTAGTGAGGTGTTCCATTTTGTCATCGTGTGCCGAAGGAAATTGAGGGGTTTATAATTGCTTACCAAGATAGAGTCATCAACACTTTGGAACACCGAAGTCGCGTGATGGGTATTTAGGTTCCTGGCATACAAGTTGTAAGGCCTGCCATAGGGTGCCGGAGACCTTATATCATTTGCTGTCTGTTTGTGGAAGGTATGCGGTCTCGGCGTATATCCATCGACATAACGCAGCGTTACGGGTGTTGTATTGCCACTTAAGGCACTCGTACGGTGTTGATGACACTCCAGTGCTGCCATATGTCCCCTCTGATGTTCCGTCCGTAGTGGAAAATGACAGAGCCAGAATATACTACTTGATCTTCGCCGAATGTACCGGAGCTCTACCGTCAAGTGATTTTGGTGATTGAGGCTCTCGGAGGTTCACGACAAACACTACTGCTCTCAGCTGTCAAGACCTTGCCAGTCTGCCGTGATAAAGCGGAACACCTTGCTGACACGATGCAGAAAGCAGTCATCCTGGGACCATTGCGTCTACTCAAGGCACACGATGCGGAACACCGTTTCTATTAACCTTGGTGGGGAGTAGAACGGTGGACGGAACACCAGGCCTACTCGCACCCGTGTAAGTCAGAGCTACGCGACCGTAAGCGAGGCCAACCCAAAAATAAAAAAATAATAATAATATGTAGTCTAGTGAAAGGCTGGGATGATTGCGTAGTTGAATTGTTCTACAATCATCTCTATAGGTCTTTTGTGGATATCACCGTCTTCCCGATATTCGAAAGACCGTAGACCAGGTCAGCTGTGTATGTCGATCTTCCTGTGTGTTCCGATAAGTACCTATTAGCGACTATTTTTCCTCGAAGATGGAAATTAATGAACCTGCATCTCGAACAACTTGCCTCATAAGTCATAGATACATGCAAGTTTGTGACGTAATAACTCACTCACCCACTACTTTCTACCCAATATCGTGTGGTGATTTTTGTTCGCGTCTGAATTAACCGATCAGCAACGTGTTTCATTGCTTCATGAGCAATCATTATTGTCAATTGCTTGTTATGACTAGAGAAAATTAATCCTCATCTAGATGCGGTGGACAGCTGGGGTCAGGTAGGTATATAATAAATTAATCATGTTCTTGAGAGAAATGCAATTTAAGGTTAAATTGAAATTGGAAAAATCCTAAACAAAAATGCGAGTCAATAACAGACATATTTGTTATGAAATTATGTATTTTAGATTTTTTCTATATTCACCCAAACATCCCCATCAACACATGTAATGACAGTTCTCGCCATTTTCAAAGGAAGGCGTGTTTTTTCGTTTAACGTAAATTTGTAATTTTTCAGTAAAGACACCAACCCTACTTTACTTTGCATTAACCCAAAACGTAAACCTACAAAAACATAATTTGAAGCTTTATTTTTTCAGGTAAGTGTTAACCAATAGTCACCTAAGCACATCCTTGGTCCTTCGCCGAAGGGTAAATAAGTGAATTCTTTAATATTTCTCCTATTTTCCACTGTGAATCTTTCGGGGTCGAATTTTTGTGGATTTGGAAAATATTCTGGATCAGTATGTAAACCCCAGGCAGAAATATGCACCATGGTTCCAGGCTCTATTTCCGTCTTAGTACCAGGTATTGTGTATTTTTTTGTGCAAACTCTTGGAATAACACCCACAGGGGGATATTTTCGCATGGTTTCTTCGATAACTTGCTCAGTATATTTCAGCTCTAGCATAGCCTCGTAAGTCATTCTGCCATTGTATTTATTCAGGACTTCTTCGGCTTCTTGTCTGACTTTTGCTTGGATTTCTGGATGCTCGCATAATTCGAGGAGAGCAAATGTCATTGCTGTTGCGGAAGTTTCAAATCTAAAAAAAAAACACACAAGAAAGGGACTCAACAAGTTGTCGAAACAAATTGCATATAATTACCCAGCTAAAAAAAAAATCAAACATTGAGCTGTAACGTCATCCAAATCAAAGGTGCCATCACTTTTAGCGCTATGATCAAAAACATTTATATCATCATCAACTACGCCCCTGTTTTTCAGTTGTATCATCATATGCAGGAAGTCTTTCCTAAACATAAACAATTATTTACTTACTTGAGACATGATATCTTATCTAAAAACTCTCACCTGTGAATTTTGTTTTTCTCTCTGTATTCAATTGTTTCTCCAACTACTTGTCTGAAAAAATCTTCGGATACTTGATAGTTTTGTGGCGATACGAAATGTAATGCTTTAAGTAAAATTCTCAAAATATGATCTTTAATTTTTGGTGGAGTGAATATCAGTCTTCCATGCTCTAAAAATTCCGATTTTGAATCTTTTAAGGAGTTGCATTCCAGGCCAAATCCACAACTAGCTACTACATCTGTAGTAAATCTAGCTAAGACGTCCCTGATATCTGCAGGTTTTCCAGATTCTGCTATTTTGCCTGCCAACTGTTCTAACCCCTGTGTCTTTTCTAATAATGTTTCGAACATCATTTTCATTTTTCCCGATGTAAACGTAGGAGTTAGTTTTTTTCTGGTAGCTCTCCATGCTTCACCTAGGATAAAGAGTCAAGATTAGTGGATTTTACAAATTGTCTTGTTGGCTGTTTACATTTTTTTTTGTAAGTTTAAAGTTAATAGTAGTGCTTACCTTCTATATTAAACAAATTCTTGTTCAAAATCCTATTTATTTTCTTGGGCCTCTTTGAAAAATGAGCAGTAAAACACTCAAAATTCTTATTCATAATATCCTTAATTAATTCTGGAGCTATCGGTACCAATATCCCTCTTAAAGCTATATAAATCCCTCCATATGGCACTCCCATAGCTTTGAATTTCTTGTAATTTTCCAACGCATACTCTGCAAGAGATTTGTTGCCTTTCACCAGATCCTTGCAGTCTCCATATAAAAAAATTGGATTCAGTTGGGGTACTCCGCGCTTCTGCCAGTAGGTGAACTTCCATTGTGAGTATAGGTGAAGTGATGTTAGAACACTAGTCATAACTACTGTTGCTGCTAATATCAATAGAGGTATCATACCTGAAGTATAAGTACCTACTTTGATAATGAAATGAATGACTAGGTGAATTAACTGGGTCGATGTATTTATATTATTTTTTTTTATACAAACTATCTTGAATTGTTACTTTATAATAATTCAGGTATTATATTGATTGGGAACCCATTGACGTAGATATAGTGGAGGTACTTGAAGTTTTTTTTTCTCACCATGTGTTTCTTTGATGCAGCGTAATCGTAGCATCAGAATTACTATATTTTTTTGATATTGATATTCAAAATATTACCTCTAGAAAATTTGATATTTTTTTGAGAAATTTGTGGAACGGTGGTAGCGTTCTCTGCCGGTATCAATGAAGATTGGCGTAGCTCAAATTGAATTTGCAATTTTTCTAAATTTTTGGACTCTATGGGGGTCTATGTCAATTCATCGTAAGTCAATTGGTCTTACGTCAATTCGTCGTATAAGTCAATTCGTCGAATTGTTGATTCGTCGTATAGGTAATTCGTCGTATACGTCAATTCGTCGTATTCCAGGTATAATATTAAAATGTATAAATTTACACTTTTTCGTTTAATCAGACATTATATACCAAACTTACAGATAATAACCCGGTTAGTTTGCAATTTTAATTAGACATTACATTGCAAACTAACCCATACTAACCAGGCTATTATCGGTAAGTTTGATAATACCTGATTAAACTTTGCGAACTAATAACTCGTTGGCTACCACATGTCACCATTGATGCATCATAAGATTCAGTTGCTTTTATAACGGCATGGATGTTTGGCCCAATTTTCTCCTAATACAAGCTAGTCGACGTTACTTTACGACAAATTGACTTTACGATGAATTGACGTATACGACGAATTGACTTCACGACGAATAAGCGTACGACGAATTGACATACGACAGAATGATTTACGATAAATTGACGGTGACCCACTCTAGGGTCGTAGCGACCCCAGTTTAAATAGCTGCCAAAGGACATGCGGGGTTCTGCCCTGTGGGTTTTGACATTTCCCCTGCATGGGAATTAATAGGAATGTTTTGTCCTTGTCAACGTAATTGAAAAGTAAACGAGAATGATAAAGACGGAGTTCAACTCCCTGGCCCGAGAATCGGCCCCCAGAGGAGAGGCAAGCAAAAGGAAATGAGTAGCAGTATACCCTGCCTTCGAGCCAACCTTCAGCCAAATAGCTGGTGGCATAAAGGTAGGGATATTACCTTTAAACTTTCCAGAACTTCTCATGGACAGAATAGTGGATGAGGTATCTTCTGCCAAAACCACGGTGAGTCCGGATTTCCTCAGCGACTGGCTACACTCTGCGATAATATAGCTACAAAACATAGTCAGCCAACCCAAACTGTTGAAAGGAGCATCACTGAAGGTGGTAGAGGAATCCTTCAGACTCAAAATGAAGAACTGGAGGGTCATTAGGCGTGGCCAGCGTGGGGATTATAGCCATCTAGTGACCTCAACTATGTCTGTAGACAGTGGGTCTGCAGATAAACTTAAATCATTGGGCTCTGTAATCAGCTACAAGTTTGGGCACTGTTTTAGTGGGTTCAGTGGGAGCACAAATTAGTTAACTTTTAATTATAATAAGTCTTTATTTCAGAAATTACATGTTCCACTTTTTTCTTAACCTAGCAACCACCACCGGCATCACCTCTGCTAACGTAAGCTGCTAACCTCACTTTCCTAGGCCGTGGCTCTCGTCCGCCTAGTGGGTGTGATTGTATCAAGGATATTACCATAAGTTAACATAATATAACACGCTTTCCCTTAAAAAAAAACTAAAGGTAATAGTTATTTAAAGGAAGGGAAAAAAGTACTAGATTTTAGCGCGAGCACTAAAATCTTACTTTTTTCCCATGTATAATACACATTTTTTTTCTGTGACGGGAAAATTTCAACATTTTCCATCTATACATTATTCCCTTTGAGAAAAAAATTTGACTGGCGCCTGTTACTTTTTTTTCTCGGGAAAAAAAATTGACTGGTACCTGTTACTTTTTTCCCGTAGGAAAACAAATCACTTTTTTCCCATGGGAGAAAAAGTGTCATTTTTGCCCAAAAAGTCTACTTTTTTCCCGTCACAGAAAAAATTGTATTTAAACACGAAAACTAATGCGTTTTCCATTTGTCGAACCTGTGCAAAAAAAATGTACCTATACCTATACCTACTTATCCTTACATGTTACAAGCTTTTAGAAAAAGATGCGGATACACTCAGTGCGCACTGATTGACAAATGGAAATCGCCCTAAAAAGAAATGTTTGAACACAAAATTTTAATAGGAACAACTTAAAAATTAGAACCTAAAGAGTTATCATTCTGAGTTGAGACTTGTCTAGGATAAAAAATCGCTTAGATAATTGGCAGGCTTTCGCATTCGCTTTTTAGTAATCATATCCTCACTTTGATTATTGCTTGTTGTGTCACCCAGATAGCAAATATTGAACAACAAAAAGAGATAATAACAAACTATCATCAAAATAAGCATAATGGCATTACAGAAACGTATAATAACATCACAGCATATACAAAAACAATCAGCAGGCTAACTCTCACGCACATCTTTTCTGCGCACGCCGCCCTTAGGGGATACTATCCTGTCATTAAACGGCAGGGACGCCGACATTTCAATGTATTGGTTTATTTCTGACGGAGGACATAGGCGTGCGGTGTAGAGCGGAATTTCAGTTATGAATTTCAAAGTGACTTTAGTATATTCGTGTTGTCATTTATGGTGTTATCAGTTATCATTCTTGTATATTTATAATAACAATAAATTAGTAATTATAAATATTATTATATGTAAGTATTGATAAATTAGTTTATTTAAAGCCAATACGACTCTGTGACACGAAAGAAAAAATCTAAATTATTGTTAATCAGGCCCTGTCTCGTATCCCAAAATGGCCGCTAGTGACATCCCGACCATGAATTCCTCTATTACACGGGCTGTCACGCGAGTTCGCCTGCTGATAACATCAAGCAAAAATACTACTGGCCAAAATTGAGAAATTCCATAACATACCTTATAAATAATTGTGAGATTTGCTTACAAAACAAATACGAAAGACGTCCTTACAAAATCGCTTACGAAGGCCCTTTACTTTCCGAAAAAACTTTTAAAACCATACACTTGGATTTTTTTCAATTCTCAAATTGCCAGTTCTTAACAATAATTGATTCATTTTCAAAATATGCTCAAGCCTATTTTGGTTCTGATAAGAATGCCATTACCAATCTAAGTAAATTAAGGCATTACTTTTCCCACCACAACACTTCCGAAAAACTTGTGTCTGATCAAGGGAAAGAGATTCAGAATCACCTTTTCAAAGAATTTTGCCAACTGTTTGGCATTGAAGTTCAATATACAACTCCCGGCAACTCTTCGTCAAATAGTCCAATAGAAAGATTACATTCAACCTTGCTTGAAAAATTAAGAATTCTTAAGATGCAAAATCCTGACGAAACGCCACAAAATCTTATGGTTTCCGCCATTCTCATTTATAATCAGAGCATACATTTAACAACTGGACACTCCATTTTCTTTTCTGTATTATACGGCCCCTATCTCAATGAGCCCAACCTAAACAATGACTTGACTATCTTTGAGCAATATAACGAACAATGAAAAAAGGAATTGTTACCTTTTTACGAACATGTTTATAAAACAGCCTACCAAAACAGTCCATAAGAACACAAAAACAAAATAAAAACACGGAAGACTATTTTAAGAATAGACAGAGAAATAAAATAAATCCCCAGTATATACCAACAAAGGTTACGACAACAAATAAAAATAAAGTGGTAAGCATTTCTAAGAAAAAACAAACTACTACTCATATCAGGAAAATTAAGAGACTGACAAAGAATCTTGTTCCTTTTCAGCCTCCCGATTCTGATCCTGACCCTGCCAGCTCAAGTGAACCCTTGCCAGGCCCTTCAGGTTTACAATCTTCCCAGTAATATCTACTATACCGGCACGTTGGTTCTTGATCAAGGATGTGAGAGACGGCCTACTCAAGCCAAGCAACGTGGTGTCAGGTTTGAGATTGGATGCGTCACCGCAGTAGTACGGTTCGGTGGGTCGACCGCGCTACTGCCAATTATCTGATCTCCAAGTATGAATGAGAAGGAGTAGAGCCCATACGAATGACATACAAAAAGCCTATAAAGGCTGCAGTGTAGAGTCTGGGCTCGAAAGGGTGAAACCAACAAAAAAAATAATATCTACTATTGAGGAAATATCACCCTCCTTAATTATCGACCATTTCCATACAACATATTATATACCTTTTAATATTTCTAGCATTAAGTATACTTTACTTTATCCAACTTATTCAGCAATATTGTTATTTTAGGCTCTATGTTGAACAAGCAAAATAATAATTTCACAAAAAAAAAAAACAATTTTTCCATGTATCTAGAACATTGAATAACACTTACGACACATACTCAAAATTGAATGTTTATGAAATCAACAATAATCGTAAAAAAGCGGGTTATCGAACTTCCTTGGCACCGGCATCAAATTCGTGACATGCGTCACAGGAAATTAAAACAATGATGACTTAGACACTATTACACAGAATTTAGAAACACAATCAAATAAACTCAATGCATAAGATCAATGACCTTAGTTTATTTGCCAGTAATTTTATGAATAAATTTGAGGAAAACATAAAAATCTCTCAGGCAATTTGCTCTGAATTTTCCAAACTTAGTAACGAAGTAAATCTAATTTTATCACTACAAGATTTATACATAAGGTAGGAATGGGTAATATGCCCATGCTAAGAGCTATCTTTGTTATTGTGGAGAAAAATAAACAGATTTTTGTAATTTTTGCTCAAATGTACTTGTTTTTACATAAGAAACCGTTTTTAAGATGGTAGGTATATGACCAATAAATGAATTATTTCGCTTAATTAATATTTTTTTTTAATTGGCCCTACTGGGCGTATTATCTACCTATGTTGATAAAACGCCCACCATATGTAGGTAATATGCCCAATGCAT